TGTGGTACTTTCTTTGATTTGTTTGGTGGGTGTCTCAAGGTGCAGAGGTGAAAGAGGAAACCCGGGTCTATCGAAATGAAAGGAGAGATGTTAAGATTATTATTTTAATTGCACTCTTTCCCTAATAGTCTCATGGCTCATGAGGTCCACTGATTCACAATTTACGTTAGTGTTTTAATCAAATGTCCTTTCTCCGGCTCTGGATTCAATAATACAACTAACACTTTGCTTTAATCTTGAGCATTTAACACACCAGACCTTACACAATTCTGTCTTCATTCACCCTCAAAAAATGTCCACAGCTCTCCCTGAATGACTGGCAGCCTCTATGACATCCATCATTGACTCAAACAATGTACTTACTCGCTCAGAGGTTTAGAAGATACTCCATTCACATTTAAAATTATAATGAAACTTTGTGACTGGTGTGGTAACTGGATGTTTACCTACAGTGTGTAAACAGACACTACATTATTAGACACTATACATATGACTCACACAAACTTAGGGATGAATTGAGAAATGTGAAGGTCCACGCATCAATGGTATTAGATCACGAGAGTAGGCGATTTAAGTAGAAATGTGCATTTGGGAACGACGTTGTATTTAAATTCAACAAAAGACAACTACAGAGATGAGTATTTATTAATTTATTTAGAGGATAAGCCCCTTGAGATGAACCATCTCATTTTCAAGGGGGTCCTCGAGATTTCACAAAGTGAGAGAAACAGAAAAACAGATGCAAACAAAACAAAAATACAAGAAAATAATTTAAAAAAAAATAAAGCATAAAAAATACACACACAAAGTATAAAACAACAGCATATTCGTGTCATCTACATGTATGTCAACATCTCATACAACATTACAATTGGACTTTTGTTTGCCTATAGGCAGGGATTACACTCTTCTTTAAGGGCTACCTCTGAGGTTCTGTGGTACAGGTTAAGAAGCCTCTGCATGGTGGCTGTTGCAGCTGTTCTCAGGTAGTTTGGACATGTCACTGTACCATTGTGTGTCACACCACCATCAAAGTCTCGCCTGGTGGTAACGGTGACTGGTGCATTGCATGCTCCATGAGCAATGTGATGCATGTTGTTTTTATTAATGTGAAATATTTTGAACATATGAATGCCCCGCTTTTAAAGAATTTGGAAATTGTACCCATGTATAAACTAACCTTTTGGAGATCCACAATTATCTTGCAGGTTCTCTTGGCTGGCTTCCTATAATGCACTCATATCAACAAGAAAGCATTGTGTTTGATTAGGATAAAGATCAAGAGATCCTTTATCCCCCGCTGTGGAACATATAAAGGATCTCTTATTCTTAATCTAAATATTGAATATGTTGCCAGTTGCAAGTTTTCTGGGTTTACAAAGTCTAGGTGATCTATAAAACTAATTCTGTAATGTATGCTGGTTTATCTGCGGCATAGACATGGACACTTTTACGCCTACATGATAAAACTGTGATTTGCTCATTTTCCTTGCATTCACCACTAGGGCGTCCCATGTTTTTGTGCGTGAGGGAAACCCCCTTTACTTACTTCCTCTATTTCTTCATTCTGAGCCCAGAACATCTGCCAGCACTCAGACTGGGGTGGCCTGGAGCTCACAGGGGCTGGTTGAGCTGAGACCGCCCTGCCAAAGAACCAAGGGAGAAGCGCATACTCAGCTCTGTGTTTATTTGGCCTGACCCTGTGCTCGCTGTGAGGTTACGGGACGTGCTCAGTGAAAGGAGCCATTGTCCTGCTGGAAAAAAAATCTGGTACAAATATTTACCAGGCGGGAAAGCACAGCCATGGCAAACAGCCAGACAGACCTGAGCCATAAAACTTACTACAGTAGACATTAAAATGACTCATTCAGACATTGCCACACTCCGGGGTTAAAATCATACCCTACGTTTTTATTAATGAGATTATACTGTCACCGATTATTAGCCATTTAATAACCCTTAACTTCAGGAGCTTACCTTTTCCTTATTATTGTATCTATTCTTTAACTTTACATTAGAATTAAGAATGAGAACCATTTCATTTTAGATAGATTCTTGCCTAAGTGTTAATGCATAAATTGTTCTTTGGTCTGCCAACTTGCTGTAATATGACAAACATCCATCCATCCATCCAGTTTCTTCTGCTTCATCTGTTGCCGGGTCGCGTAAACCTGGATCACTTCATACACTACAGTTCATACTCCCTTTGGTGCTCCTATTATGTCAGTAGTAACAATATGACAAAAAATGATAATAGATTTGTCTACGTTTTGAAAATGTTACCGTAATCAACTTAATACCTAAAACATGTTCGAGATGGTTTGCACATATGGTACGTTACCATCATTCTAAAGCACAAGTGGCAAACACAAGGCCAGCGGAACCGATTTTTAATTATCATGTTTCAAATGCAGACAATGTTGTCCTTTTGGCTCCAACAAACCAGAACTTTCAACATGCTTTGGGGCGGTTTGCAGCAAAGTGTGTAGCGGCCTGGATGAAGATCAGCACCTCCAAATCTGAGTACATGATGCTCGACCGGAAACAGGTGCCTTGCCCTCTCCAAGTGGAGAGGTCCTTCCTCAAAGAGAGGAGTATCTTGTGTTCATGAGTGAGGGGAGGATGCGTGATAATTACAGATTGATCCGGGCAACGAGTGCAGTGAATTTGAATGATTCTATATCACCATTAATCACAGAATATGGTTTTAATTTGTTTACATCAACACTTTTTAACTGCATGTGTTTTTGCAAGCAGAAATACTGTACCTGGATCACTTCATTCACTACAGATCATATTCTGTTGGGTTCCCTTGTTAGGTCTGTAGTAACAAATGCATTTCAAAAAGGATGAATAAATTCACCTTTTTTCTCATATTATTCTTGAAAAGGCCGCACTGGCTTTAGCTGGAATAAATCGTCTGGTTTTCATCACTGGTTGCGCCTTTTTACCCTCACGGTGGATGGACCTGGCGGACACCTCTCTCAGTTGCGTTGACATGCAACAAAGCTAATGGTGGCCGGGACAGGAGGGCCTAATCTTCACTAACTGACAAGATTTAAATTGAGGAGACATCTTCCGCTGATTAGCTCCCACACCCACAATTATCCAGCTGGGGTGTCAAGCAAGGTTTAACATCTCCACTGATTCTGCTCTCCTGAGATTTCCGCCAGGCAATGCAATCGCTTTTAATAACTGCCCCCCTCGCCGTCCCTCGCTTGCTTGCTCCGTCCCTCCCTCACCCATTGCATTGCTTCTCAATACTCAAGCTCTCCCAGCCCCACCAGTGCCTCACCCCTGTCTATTCCTCTGACTCTCCCCCTGGTTCCAAGTAATTCAGGAGCTCCCTTCAAAATTAACCTTTCCTGGAAAAATATAATTTCTCACAAAATGAACCCCACTGAGCGATCTGGAATAATTTATTCAAATTGGCAGAAGAGCGGCACAATCTGAGCACTGAGTGGCGAACCCTGAATCTGCCTTTTTCATCTATGTAAGGAGAGAGGGAATGAACAAAGTTATGTACCTGCGGTCTCCCATGGCAAATAACAGGGACAGGCTCTTCGCTTCACCTTCTATCCCCAGCCCTGCGCCACAGTCTTCCCCCTCGAGTGTACGGCTCATTAAAATTCATCTGATCTGAATATTTTTTTTGCAAATATGGCCATGATTGCCCGCCACGACATGAAACATCCCTGTGTGTTATTTTAATCACACGCAGCCCGACGGCCACTGTATATAAATTCATATGTGATGGCGGTGACATTGAACTCCTATACTGCTTGACCCCATTTTACGAGCAGTCTTTTTAGGAGCGGAGTGGGAGGTGTAAGAAGTTATCTGCAATGATAGACGTGCCTGATAATTCTGCTCTCAAATGTTCACATGACATCCGCTCTGGTTAAAGCGCCTCTCAATCAACTCGCCTTTTACTCAGCCCCTTGTTTCGCCTGCGCTCCCCTCCATCTAATCAACTGTTTTCCTCTGCTGATGGAACAGGGACACAAAGCAATGTGATTAATAATTTACTGTTTAGTTTTACTAATTAATCTGTTTTGGGAGCGGGGATAAAAGAGGGGACGCATCCTCAGCGCGCACCGCCTTTCATATGGCATTTATCCACAAGTCGCAACAGGCTCCCTCAAGATGAATAATGAACTAAACAAGATCAAATAATTATCGCTGGGGAGACGCAAAGACAGCCTTACAAACAGTTTACCTTAGATTATTTCTGCACAGAGACAGGTCGGGACCAGAACAAAGACCTTAGGGAGGTGCCTGTGAGTTTAGTCAAGGAAAAGTTTCTGGACAGTGCATAAAGCAACAACAAGAGTTTTCTGTGGACAGTATACATATGAGTCAGTATACAATCTGTACAATCTAAACAGAATCTTCTGTAAATGCATTCCGTTGCCCATGCAGGGCGGCATGGTGGCTGAGTGGAGAGCACCTGTCAACAAGAAGGTCCCGGGTTCGAATCCCGGTCGGAACAGGGCCTCTCTGAATGACGTTTACATGTTCTCCCTGTGTCTGCGCAGGTTTCCTCTGGTTTCCCCTACCAATACAAAACATGTACAGTAGGCCTGAATGTAATGAGTGAATGAATGGAGGGTGTTGGTAGGGTTGATACACCAGTTTGTTCGGCGTCTCGCTTCCTTCATAAGAATGGAATATTATCTGAACTCTGGACATTGTAAAGCGCTTTGGGTGACCTTTAAAATGCGCTGTATAAATAAGGATTAATCACTTACTCTATGTTTACATTTTCAAGAAGAATGATATTATGCCATGCAAAAAAGGGACAGATGCTTAGGACAGAAACTGTTCCACGGACATGATCCACAGAACTCAAAAGTGAGACATTTATTTGTTTCTACACATCATGTGCTGAAGATTCTTCCCCAACATAACTTTAAATATTTGTTGATCTGCATTATTGAATATTCCGTAGATGCCCAAGTCAGATTTGTCAGTGTGTCCCATGTCCTTCAGTCTGTCCCATGTCCTTCAGTCTGTCCCATGTCCTACAGTCTGTCCCATGTCCTACAGTCTGTCCCATGTCCTTCAGTCTGTCCCATGTCCTTCAGTCTGTCCCATGTCCTTCAGTCTGTCCCATGTCCTACAGTCTGTCCCATGTCCTACAGTCTGTCCCATGTCCTTCAGTCTGTCCCATGTCCTTCAGTCTGTCCCATGTCCTACAGTCTGTCCCATGTCCTTCAGTCTGTCCCATGTCCTACAGTCTGTCCCATGTCCTACAGTCTGTCCCATGTCCCCTCTCTGAGACTTTTTCACACTGCTGTAAAGAGCTGTGGGCAGGTATGGCCGCCTCCTCTGGACTGCAGGCAGATGAAAAGAGCATGTGACTGTTCAGGCTGCAGTGCTGAACAACCACAAACACTTTATTACTGTTGTGGATTACATGCATGTGTTCCACTAAACCGAATGTGTTTCTTCACTCGCCTCTCTAATGCTTCTGTCTGCTGCTTGTAAATACGCTTTAGTGCAATGCATGTGAAGTGAGTGTGCTCTCTGTGGCCTCTTATAAATACTCCCATGGCTTATTACGTGTTAGGCACTAAGATTAAAGCGGCAGCTAAATGCCCGTATCATTGGCCTATTAGCATGTGGCATATATGTGGAAAGGTGGCTGCTTAATTAACGTTGATTGATTGGAATCAATGAGTGTAAAAAGGGGCCATGGAGGGGCAGGGCTGGTGGGAGGGTAAGCAGGGTGTCTAGTGGAAAAATATCCAGAATTAAACCAAGGATAGTCTTCTTATCGCATTGCCTTTGATACTTGACTAAATTCCACCCTGCTGTCTCCACCCCCTTCAAAATAGTAGCCTAATTTTGTCATGGATATTAGCCAGACACGTGCCTGAATCAGTGCTGGTTGTCATAATTATGTTAACATGGGGGATATTAAATGAGACAGGCCTATTTCCAAAGGTGAGACTGTAGAATAAACTCAACGCTCAACAAACCTCTGTGTCAATCACACCAGCGATTCATATTCAGCTAAAGTCAAGCGCATCTGCCTGGATGCATTATTTATGTCGGAAATAAGCAGCTTAACCGAATCATGCTAGCAGCTATTAGCAGGAGACGCACACCTAGCCCGCTCTCTGTCTGTCTCTCATCGGAGGCCATGTTTGAAGTCTAAATAACACAAGTTTGATTGGGCCCATGGAAGCAAAAGTAATCCCACTGAAGTCGGCTGTTTTATGGAGATGGAACAAAGCCGTGGCAGTGTTTGTTCTTGTCATTACCCTGTGCATCTCTCTCTATAGCTATCTCTCTGTGGGCCAAATAACAGCGGAGGTTAGCGTCGGGGTGTTACTGCTCAATCCTTCTGTCACCGTCATAAAGTGGTGTTTTAGATCAGCCGGCTCCTGACGGACAGCTCTGAGGAGAGTGTAGCCAGAATAACAACAGCCGTTTTGACTGTACAAAGGCAGGTGTTGATGAGGCCTCTGCACTGGGGGAGCAGAGGTGGGCGGCTGAGGGAGGGGGCTTTAGGGTTACGAGGGGGTTAAGCGTAGCTGAGGGTGACTGAGTATCCTCTCCACTGTTCTGCCTCTGCCTTTCAAATAGCTCTCATTCATAATGAATACATCCGGATCTCTGCTCTGCATCTTCGCCTGACAGTTTCACTGTTTTCTTTTGGCTTCCTCTCGCCTTCACTTTTGGTTAACCTCAGCAGTTGGTTGACTCCACGTGCTGCAGGAATAGGCAGCTTGTCATAACCCCTCCTCTTATTATTAAAGTGTTTCGACAAAGGTCATAAAAAGTAAGCAGTTTTAGCATGCAATCAATGTTCCTGGCTATAGCATCATTATCCAAACATTTGCATTAAATGTACTGAGAGTACCATTGATATGTGGAACAGTACTTAAAAACAACATTTACACAGAAAATATTGATTAGAGTTTTTTTTTCATTTGAGGTGTACATATTCACATTCTCAAAATGAATTTTTTGATTGTTTCTGAGAGAAAAAGGAACAAATTTGTGACAGTCCGGACATTTAATAGTTGGCAATAGTTATATACAATGGAAATGTATTTTTTGCAACTATACATAAGGATTGTTACAATGATAAGCATATGAATTGAATACCTCAGTGAGAACAATACTTATTTTTTTGATGAAATAGCCTGCTTTAAAGAGCAGTGACAATTTCCTGCCCATACATGCGCTCAGTCCAAACACAAAGGCCCATCAGGTGGTCCACAGGTTAGCCATCATTAGGTCTAAATACAGCTCTCTATCACAGCATCCATTTGCTTTAGATCCCTTAGAACGAGCTTGCCCTGAGCTGCAGCCTGCCTTTTACCCCTGCTTATTTAGATGCACTCCAGCACACAATGGGGGTGCATTAGCAGCGCCCGGCCTCACAGCAGCTCTAATTTCATTGTGGTTACCACATGCATCCTACTTGACTCTCAATTCACTCTCTGGGATGAGGGCCAAATAATGGGATTTAGCCTGTCTGACTCAAGCCTCCCAACCATCTCTGTTTTGGAGTGTGTGTGCACGCAGCCAATTCAGGGCATCTCTGCTGTAGGTGTACGGTCATCCATGTGTGTCAGTGTATATGAGCTACATATAACCCCCCATCTCCTCTATTATCTCCTACTTCTATTTGCATCCACAATATGAGTATACAGGCGTGCGGCTGCTCGACACATGTCATGCATTTAAATTAGTATGTACAAATAATGCCTGCATATAGTGTTATTAAAGGTTTTTTTTTACTCAATTACTCTCTGTATCTAAAGAGTCAGAATATGTATTTAAAGTTCAATAAATGCACTTTTTAATTACACACATGTGTATTCAGCTACTGCCGTTGGCACTTTATAATGCAGCAGCAAATGAAAAAAAAATCAAATTATGCACCAAAATTTATCTATTATTGCCCTAGTAGATATTTTTTTTATTCTAATCAAGTTAACTTCTTACACATTGGAAAGTCATTATGAGGTAGGTAGGAACTATTGTACTTTTTTATACAGAAATCAGGATTTTGGTTTCGCCCGATCCACCTGTTCTCTGCTGGACACATTAGTTAAAATTGTGAATAATTAACAAGGTCACGAAAGACGCAGCAGGGTCATATTGTAGCAGCAGTAACACATGCATTGAGGGGCCAGAGGAGGGGAGAGAAATTTAGGGCAGGTGACAAGGAGCTGTTGACAAGGGACCTCAAAAGCTAAGCAGAGCAGGGCATGGTTGATGCTGTGATGGGAGACATATGGAAACACCAGGTTGACTTAGACAAGACACTTCATGAACATTGTGTGTGAGTGTGGGGGGGTCAGGCAGACTGTCAGAAGCTTTAAACTTTTGTTCATAAAAGGTCAAACATAATGAATACATCATTTCTGGGGACATATAGATAGATACTTTATTGATCCCCGAAGCGAAAGAGAAATTCAGGTGTCCAGTTGGAGCAAAAACACATCCACTCACACAAACAAAAATAAATTGATTGTTCTAAAAAGTTAACAATAGTAATAATAAGCAACAGCACTTCAGGTCACATATATACATACATTTTAAAATTAAAATATGACTTATGGCCCTCTTTTTAAGTGTTAACACATTGGTCCTTATGGGCTTGCAATTAGTTTATAGTATGTAAAGCTTAGTAACTATCATGATAGAGTCTAGCTGTTTAACTGCAGACATGTAATTGTCATGCATATTGTTTTTTCTATGAAAGTCAGAATGGGCAGATGGCTTACTTTGTAAAAGTTTGTCGCAAAACAAGCTAAATGAAAAATAATGACTGGACTTATTAAAAGTTGTCATTTGCATATATGAGATAAGAATAGCGAGACAAACAGCTCCCAATACAATGCGGCTCTTTTATGTGGGAGCACACACACATGTGCCGTGCAGATAGACTCTTTACACAGCACTACTGCATAAAACAACACAAACTAATCAGGACAAACGAGCCCTGGTCTCACACACAATCATATGTACAGGGGCCCTAATTTATGCAGGTTAGTGGTGGGCTTTAATTACAGTAGCAGGCTGTGTTCGTTGGGTAATAGCTGCAGCGCGTGTAGCTGTCAAAAACAAGCTGAAACAATTCTATGTGAGAGCAGAGAAACAAACAGTGAAGCTCACTCTGTAGTGTAGACGCCCTTTAATCAGGCCCTGGTGTATTTCTGTTTATTTATTATGTGATAGTGAGAACAGAGCCTCCAACTGTGTTATGTTGCTGCATAGCTTCACTGAACATTTCCCAGAGAGAAAATTGATAGAGAGGTTCATAATTAAGCAAATTAATGAGTTTATTTGGTAGCAACCAAACACTCAGTACAATACCAACTCCTATCTCCACAGGGACATGAAAAGTCTCACTTTGTTGCCTGGGTTATTTGTTGTAGGTTCTTTATATGTGTGTGCGTCTGTGTGTGTGTGTGTGTGTGTGTGTGTGTGTGTGTTAGTGTGTTTGTGTGTGCGCACATGTTATGATGTTGGAGTCTGCATCACTTTGCTTTGCTACAGTCATTTGCATAAGACAGCTTTGCAGAAAAGCATTGTACTGTTTTTCTGCAGATTTTAAAGCTATGCAAATCAGCGTCAAATGCATGACAAAGATGAGAGTGTTTTAACTTCAAATGTGACCAGTGACCACCTAAAATGCTGCTGTTTTTCTCACTGACTTGTTTACCGTTGCCCTGGGGACCCAGGCCTCACGTTTAAAGCCATCTCATATCTGGCTGTGTCATAATGGGCCCTGTGACAGCAGGCTATTAATGAGCGGCCATTTTGTGCCTTTGACTGCAGTTCCTCTGCGCTTCATTAATTTCTACCGGTCTGAGAGGTGAGAAAAGAGGAAGAATACTTGATGGGAAAAGGCGCTGTCCCTGGGGATGACATTCAATTGGTCCATTCCTTTTGTCACATGTTTATAGTTCTACATTTCCAAGTTCTGTTTGCATTATTTATGTCTACAACTATTTTGTTACAAGAAAGGAAAACAAGGAAAACTGATGGCCCCCCTCCCTCACATTTGGTAATGTCCATGGCACAGGGGGCCACCCAGGGGCCAAAGAAGATTCTGTGTGGAGGACACAGACACAGCTTTAAGTCGCCACAGGTGCCTGCTGCTGTACTCACCCTGACTCTCATTCATACTTTGTCTCATCTGTCTCCGTGGCAGATAATATACACTAAGCTACACAATTTGGCTTTACCCACAAACCAGTCAGGCAACTCTAGTTCCAATCTTCATGCTGGACAGAATAGTTAAATGATCACATTGACATGTGACTTTCACATTGAAAGTGACACTTTGTGTCACTTTCAGAAGTGTGTTGTAACTGTGCTTACAATTATTAGC